GAGATCTTTGATGAGGCGAGGCGAGCGAGGCATTGCAGTATTGTAGAAGCGGAGTGCGGAGCCTTTGTATTCGCGATATATTTACGGATGAGTCCGGTTCGTTTGCTGACACCTATTCAGTTCGTCCTTTAAGTAATCGCTCCGGCCTGTATAATAGTTCGTCCCATGTATAATCACCTCGGTCGCCGCGTGGCATGGTCACCTATACTAACACGTGGCGACGAGGTGGAGGGTTTGACACAGGCCCGTAACACACGTCGTGACATAGCCTTTGCAACAAGCATGGTAAGTCAATTTATGTACTCACCAAGACTCGAGCATTTTGATGTTGTTTATAGGATTCTAAGGTACCTAATAGGGATTCTAGGTATAGATTTATTATTTGGGACATGGGAATTTACAGGTTTAAGTATATACTAAAGCAAATTTGGCTAGAAGTGTCACTCATAGAAGATCAACTTCCAGCTATTGCACTTTTTTGGAGGAAACCTAGTAAGATGGCGCAGCAAGAAACAAAATGTGATGGCAAGGAGTAATGAAAAGGCAGAATTTAGGTTGTTGCTCATGGAATTTGTGAAGCACTACGGATCAAAAAGTTGCTCGAAGAATTAAATGTTACCAATTCACCATCAATGAAACTATATTGAGACAATAAAACTACAATAGCTATTGCTTACAATCCTGTTCTTCATGATAGAACAAAACATGTAGATGTAGACAAGCATTTTATTAAGAAGAAAATAGATGAAGGAGTAATAGGCTTGCCATATATCTCGACAGCTGGGCAAGTTGCATACATACTTACAAAAGGACTGTCGAAGAAACAATTTGAAAACTTCACTATCAAGTTGACCATTGAGATATCTTAAAGCTAGTTTGAGGGGGATTGTTGGAAAGTTTCCAAAACTGTTTGGTCAACTTTTCTGTTTTTCTAAGAGAATCTCGACTGTAAATGTGTGAATATCTTAGGATATTTAGTTTCCTAAGAAGTTAACATCTTTTATGCTTTCCTTCTATTCTTTCGCCGTAACTTTTATTTATACAAACTTGTACATATTTTATGATTAATGAAATATTTCCACAAGAGGCTCTCTCATTCTAGAATTTCTCTCTCTCTCTCTCTCTCTCTCTTATTTTCAGCTACACATTTTTTGATAAAATATAACACGTAAATTCAAAATTTTTGCTTTTTTTTTAATCACGCATTTTTCAAAAAAATACTATTTCAAAATATATTTTGAGCAAAAATGAAGCTTGAAGAAGCACTTATTATTATTATTATTTTTTTAAAAATATCTAATAAAATATGTATCTTACTATCTTTATTGTTTTTTCAAATATCATCTACTTTACATTGTCCTCTATATTGTCAACTATCATGTAACGCCCAAAGATTCTTGAAGCGTTACATGAAAAATCTTTTTAGTTGGAGCTCTTTAATGCTAACAAAAATAAATTGTAACTAATAAAAATTTTGGATATTAAAATATATAAAAATGATGGTAGATATTTGTCCATATATACTTAGACAATTATGGTGTAATAGTAATTTGATTTTGGAAAACATCTTGAGAAAATTCGACAACTATAGGTTGCGCAGTAGTAGAGAGAAATATGTTTGCCCTAGTAAACGTCGACTAAAATTTATGAAATTTTAACACAGCCTATAACACTCATATACGTACAATATATAAAGATTTGGGATCTCGACAATGATGTTTGAAGTATAAAAATATTTTTCAACTATGCTCAATAGTGTTTTCGAAACAGACACAACGCAATCTACTATAATGGACTTAACTTTTTCTCTAGATAATATTTTAAGATAATTCTAAAGATCACGATTAGAAGTCTTATAAACCTTTCAAACCCTACTGATTTCACTCTAAAATATACACCGTAGCCCAAGTTATACCATTTTAAATAAGATGACAGAATCTGAAAATTCAATTAAGCAGTAATTAAAATTCATGCATAATCAATCCAATATTTCTAAGTTATAGTTGATATGCAACGTATATAAAAACTAGACGAAGTAGACAATTAACAATTTTACAAAAAAATGTCATCTAGGTGTTCAAAAGAGATTTACATAATTAGAAATTTTACTAGAAAGTTAAATAGCATTTCAAATCGCATGCACTTGCCACTATGCCAAACCACTGTCATGCCTGGAATTAACTGTAAATTTTGTAGGAT